TGAAGTTTTTGAAGATTTTTTTTTTGGACTTGACGCGACCCTTGTTTTTACCACCATCCGCCCTTAGCCATAGGAGGTGATCTGGTAATCAATCCCACTCGTCGGCTTCTAGGTCAATCGGGGATCGGTTTCTTTAGCTGTGTGCGCAGAAACCAGAGCTAGAGAAGTAGCGAAGGCGATTTTTGACCCTCGTCTCGGTATTCGCGCCAGCTGCGTCAACAGCCGAAATTTCCGTCGTTTCGGGATTTTTCAACCACCAAACNCCTCTTCTGCGGCCTGCTCCGCCGATTTGCGGACTCGAGCCTCTCTACTCTTCGCCAACTGAGCTTTTTGGAGTTTCTCGAGGGTAGCAGCGGCCGTACGCTTCAGGGTAGGGTAGTCGGCCTTCTCGGCAGCCTTGCGTGCGCGCCCAGCCGTCGCTGCGTCCGCAAACGTGCATCCTTCTCTCCCGAGAAGAGAAGTCATGAAGTTTTTGAAGATTTTTTTTTTGGACTTGACGCGACCCTTGTTTTTACCACCATCCGCCCTTAGCCATAGGAGGTGATCTGGTAATCAATCCCACTCGTCGGCTTCTAGGTCAATCGGGGATCGGTTTCTTTAGCTGTGTGCGCAGAAACCAGAGCTAGAGAAGTAGCGAAGGCGATTTTTGACCCTCGTCTCGGTATTCGCGCCAGCTGCGTCAACAGCCGAAATTTCCGTCGTTTCGGGATTTTTCAACCACCAAACGGAAATCGGCTTCGCTACTTTTCTATCTATAGCATTTTTACAGGTGATAGTAGATTGAGAATAGCCATCTCCTCGCCGTCTTCGCGCATTTTTGATTGCCAGTTCCTTGTCTTTGCTCAAGTAAGTAGGACTGCTGTCTGTGTGCCCCCTTCAAAAAAAAAAAAATCTATTCGCAGCATGCCGTTTTTTGTTGCTCCGCAGGGGGGTAACCCCAGGGTCTAACTGTACCAAGACGATTCCATCCAGATGTATGCGGTCTTTGACCTATCGACATCGACACGCGACGTTTCAACCAAACACGCCGTGTGTCCCCTCTCTGAGAGCCTAACTACATGCTTGGGGCCCAACTGCCCGCAGAGGTGGACGGCATGTTCGCGGAGATGGACAGCTTCGCCAAGGCCGTGCTCGGCTACTGCTCCAAGAACCTAGCGGCTCGCGCGGGCTCAAGTACCGCCGGCGGCGGTAGTGCTCGTGCCAGCGACGCGGCCGCTATCATCAACGGTCTCGGTGCCGAGCAAGGCCACCCGGGGGGCGGGGGGGGCTTCGGCGAATCCAAGAGTGACGAAGGGCGGGTGCGGCAGCCGCGGTCGCGAAGGCCCCAGGAGGAGGAGCTTTGCGCCGTCATCGCCGAGCAATGGAGGTTGACCGCGGCCACGCTGACCCGCTCGCGGTGCGTCAAGGGCAACGGCGACGCGGAGGCGATGGAGCGCCGCGAGGTAGGTGGTAGGTAGACGGGGTGTTGTTGGTGGCGTTGTTCCGGGGTAGATTCTGCGGAGCCGCTCTCTTGCCCTGTGCTCAGGCGACACGCCTCCCTCCCTCCTCTCTCTCTTTTCCCCTTTCTCTTTAAGAGGTCGTCCGGGCGTTGCGTTCGTTGTTGTGGCCGTTGGGTTCGGGTGTAGGCCGTTGCGTGGCATTGGCAGGGTGATGCGGGGACCCACCCTCTCAAAGGGACGAAGGCACGCTAGACCCCGCGATCAAGATGCCTCCCTTCTTCGCTTGCCTTTCTCGCTCTCAGTGCCCAACCCTCAAATCGCCCGTGGAAGTGTTCGCAAGGCAGGATCTCTCGCCCGACAGAACAGGGGCTAGCAGGCGATATCCCCCCCC